TCAAGAGCCCAAAACGCCTCGCGCACAATGCGCTAGTTTTTTTTCACGGGGCCCGCGCGCTTTAATGTGTTAAGTCGGGTCGGGTAATTTTTCAAGTACTGTATATATATTTTATATATCCTACTTGATACATTGATAGATATATTGTATAACTAAAATTAAATAAAGTTAATTGTGTAATTGCGTTCCAATTTAGTGCCACGCCGACGATTAAGCCAGCTGTTGGCTGCTGCATGGATGTGTGAAAATGCTCTGATAAAGTCCAGATGGGTGGGAAAAAATTGGTTCATTCCTTTGTATTGCAAAATATTTCATGTATCAATCAGTGATTGTTAATATTTTCTCAATAAAATTTTACAGATGTGTTATGTTTTACCCTGTACAGTGCAGGTAATGTATTTTTAATGTTACAACACAGGCTGTGGCGGCCAAGCCATACAATGGCGATCGAGCCTTGTCACTAACTGAGAGCTAGCCAAGATGAAATATTTTGAGTTCACCTTTTCTCTGCTAATGATAGAATATACATTTGCAGAGACTAATATGTAGCTTTTGTTGAAAAAAAAAATTAATATGTTGTAATACTATAATAAAATTGGTAAATTGACATACTTTTTAATGAAGCTGAAGATTATGAAGCTGTGAAGATTACGTCTTCCTCTGCAGCGCTTGTTATATATTGTTCAGTACTATATACAAGGTACATACAGTATGTACACTTATTTTCAGGCATTCACTTCACACAACAGCTAGGCTTACTACTAATTCACACGAGTTCTAATTCTAATTCACAATTGAAAATTATTTCTACTGTATATTTACACTGTACAGTATCTTTTTGTCAAGGCTTAATTAATCATTAACACTTAAAATACTGTACTCTATCAATACTTTTTACACTAATTTATATGCCTTTCAATCATATTTTCTGTGGGGAGCCCCTACGGCTCCTTGGAGCTTATGGGGCTAATGTATGTTATATTAGACCGGGACATTAGCTATGGAGTTCAGACCTACCAGGGACTAGCGCCAGAACCTGGCCCCTGCAGAGAGGTTTCAGGGAGCAATGGCCCTGGAAAACCCTGTTGTGGTTGGGGTTTTCCTTATCTGCCATCGACCAGGGTTAGGCACCCAGAAAGGTAGGCATAACAAAACAAACCCCACACGGTAAAAAGCTAAAACAAAAACCGAACAGAGGTAGAGAACTCCCTACATTCCCAAGGAAACAAGCAAACAAGCAATTATCACAATTTACTACCGCACCGGTTGTCCGCGCAGCCCTCCCCTCCCCGAGAGGGGGAGGGGAGGGGCCCCGGACCCCACCGCTCTGGCTGCCTTCAGTCCGTAAGCTAGTGTCAACCTGGACAGATGCTTCTCTGGCCTCAAATTCCTGGGCGGTGTTTTGCCTTGTGTGGCGTTCTCTGCTGTCTTAGTGTGGTGTGCGGTGGCCAGGAGTACTTCATCAGTGCCGGGCTGCATGCGCTTAGGGGCTTCCTTCCCTAAGCGCCCTGTGAGTACTGCCCCTGGGTGTCAGGGTTATCTTCCTTGGGGCGTTTGGGAACCGCTTCCGTAGGGGTTCATGCTGCTCGGCATTTGCCTCGCCCTTGGAGCCAGCTAGGTCTTGGGGCCCTTGTTTGGCTTTGGGTAGGGAGTGGTGTTGTGCTGGTTAGGGCATTAAGGTGTTGCGTGTCCTGCCACCTAAGCGGCAACCGGTTCCTGTTACCTCTGGAGACGGTGTACTTTTGCGGGATTTTTCTTTGGTTTTGTTTTTGTTTGCCTGGTGGAGGTTCTGCCTCGTGGGCCTATAGTTCCCCTAATGCTGTTTTGGTGGCCCTCTGCTAGGCCCCTGTGCTTGTACACATCACAAGGGTTTCAGTGTTATCATCTACCCCTTGTTAGTTTGGATTTTTAATCGGTTAGCAACACCTTGCCCGGGCTTCCCGTAGTTGTTACCCTACGGGCCCTGGAAACCCCTATTGGGGCTCGACGGGCCCATGGATGCGTATCCCAAGTTCCATCCTGCCTTGTTCGTGTTTGAAAGTTGCTGTGTGCCCTTGTCTCAGGGTGACAGTCACCTGTTTTACCTCCGTTATGCTGCCTGTTGGGTCAACGACACCTTTGACCCGGAGTCTTGCGAGTTGTGTTCTCTGCTTGTGCTCCAGTTTTACTTTGAGGAGGTTCCTGTTAGGGTACAGGCAGCATTTGCGTTGCATGTTAGGTTTAGGTTACTGCAACGCGCTAAGTTGGTTCCCACCCGGATGCCCTGAGGCTGCCCCGTTTTGGTTTTAGGGACCCGGACCTGGGGGCATTAGTCGCTTCGACTTTGGCTCCTTTTGCGCTCCCTGGTCCTTCCCCTGTGGTTCATCCTGCCCCTTCCCCCTATGTCCGGCTCCTAAACGTCTGAGGGTTTCGGATTCGGCATAGGATTTAGTTGGTAATGAGGTTCGGGTGGCTTCGGGCACTGCCCCATTCGGGTCGGAGATGAAGGCATTTGAGCCGGTTCCTCCTGCTGAGGCTTCTGGGTCCCACCAGCAAACCCCCCTCTTGTCTGCCTTTCCCCGGGACTCTGCCTTTTCTTCAGAGGAAGAGGGTTTGGAGGACGGCTCTGCCCCAGGTCCCGACATGGGGGATCTTGGGGCTGGGGAGGAGACGACCTGGGGGCCTTGGGGCCCTCTTTGACCCCGCTTGGGTGCTTTTGCCTTCCTCGCGGGGCTTATTGTTGCAGGGGGAGGGGTTTTCTTACCCTCCCCCTTTCCCTATACGAGTATAATTTGGGTTTAGCTCCTCCTCCTGGTTCGGTTTCGGGCTCCTTTGGGTACCTCAGATCTGTCTTTCCAGAGGTTTTCTACTTTCTGTATTTCTGCGAAGGAGGCTCGGGAGCTCTTGCTGCATACCTCTTGCGAGATCCGGTTTATACCTCTGTGATGGATCCATCTTCATTTGAGTTCAGTTCTAGAACCCGCTTTTGGGTGTGTGTGGAGATTCCGGAGTCTTCCTGGTTGGCAGACTGCCCTTTCTTTTCTTTGGGGGCGTGGCGTGGGTTCTGTCGGACCCACACGCTTGATTGGCGTGAAACTTCTACATTTCTGCAGGTTTACCTGGGGTGGGGGGGGGGTGAGTTTGAACACCTTAATGCATGCTTGTTCGCCCCCGTGCTTTCTCAGGATGTTGGCCCTTTCCAGCTTCACGTGCAGGTTCCTCTTTCAGCATCGTTGGTTGCTGAGGATTTGTGCTCCCATGGGCATTTGGCTTCGGTCTTGCGTTTCTTTTTCCTTCTCGAGCTGTCTTATGCCTGGCTTGAGGAGGATGTGGGAACGTTGAGTGAAGGGCCTTCGTCTGGAGCACTGACTTCAGCAGCTAGGGTGTCGGCTGCACTGTTGAAGCTCTTTGCGCCCATCTTGAAGGAAGCGGTATCTCTGTTTTTTGCTTCTCGCCTCACGTGCCGTCAGGTTGTGCTCGCCCTATCTTTGGAATCCGCTTGGGCTGTGGCTCTTAGGTTCTCATCTCCACTTTGTCCGTTACTGTTTGCAGAAGCTGCGGTCTCGCAGTTTCTGCAAGCGGCTTCATCTAGTTGTCGTCCTATGTCAAACTTGTTGGTTCTCCGGGGAGGTCGTTCTTGGCAGTCTCGGAGGGGTCATGCCAGGGTTCCGGGTTGCGCTGGTCGAGGTGGGCCATTGGTGCCAGTATCTGAGCCGACATTACCTTCGGTGCCGGCGTCGTCTGGTCGGCGTGGTGTTCGCCCTGCTCGACGTTTGGGTTCTTTAAGGGGCATCGGCCCTTATGCGGTTCGCCCCGTTGACGGGGCGACAGGGGGGGCAGGCTCGCTCTGTTTGCCCACGCTTGGTCCCATGATTTGTGGGCCTTTTCGGTTGTGTCATCCTGCCTGAGGTGGCGTTGGGCAGCCCGTCATCCTTTGGGGGATTCGGGACTAACGGGGCAGGTTTCTTCTCCTGCGCTTCATCAAATCATCTTAGAGTAGGTGCGTTTGGGCATGGTCGAAACGACCCCGTCCCTCAGGTGGGTTTCCCACCTGTTTCCAGTGCTAAAACGGGACTGTGCGGATCTGAGGTTCATTCTGGACTTGTTCCGTCTGAACCCCTGGATTCCTTGCCCCTCCTTTCGGATGACTACTATGTCTCAGATCCGGCTTCTGTTGGAGCCGGGTGCCTGGATGGTGTCTCTGGCCCTCAAGAATGCTTATTGGCATGTTCCTATTCATCCGGGGTTCAGGGACTGGTTAGGTTTCGTGGTGGGGCATCACACTTACCGCTTTCGCTGTCTACCTTTTGGCTTGAATCTGGCACCTCGTGTTTTCACACATCTGACCCGGGTTGTGGTGACCCGTCTGCTTCTTCTAGGGTTCGGGTTTTGGCCTACCTCGACGACTGGCTGGTGTGGGCTCCCAGTCGGTCAGCTTGTCTGCTCGCCATGGATCTGGTTCTTTCCCAGCCCGCCAGGTTCAGGTTCCTGGTGAACTGGAGGAAGTCCCATCTGGTTCCGTCCCAGGTTCAGACCTGGCTGGGTCTTGTTTGGGATTCTTGGACTGCTTCCTTGTCTCCACCACTTCTGTGTGCCACCACTTCTGTTAAGTTGGATACTGTTTCCTAAGTTCCCTGTTCGTTCCAAGACTTGCATTTCCCAAGTTGTCTGCAGTGTCAGACAACCTCTTGTTCCTGGCAGGCCCAACAGAACTATTTACGGCTGATGTGAGCTTTTAGTGAAGCAATCTCGGGAAGAGTGAGATCGTCAGTGAGCCTCTGGGGCTCCTCCAGAAATTGGCATTTCATTACACTCGATGCTGGGATTTTATATATTCTGTACTCTGTCTGATATTTATACAAATAAAAACACATTTTGGCCTAAAATTAAAACCTACATACCTAAAATTACTCAAGACATCAAAAAGATGGAGAATCAACTGTAGGCATTACATGCAGGATTTACTTTTACTGTATTTGTATAGTTGTTCCTACTCTTTTGGGTAATTTCTTTGTATAAATCCATACATTTGTCTTTCAGATTATTTCAGAAGTGAGGAGCCTACTTGTTGAGAAGTTGGGAAATTGCAGTCATGAATTGTGTCAACTGATGTATATCCGTGGGTTGAAAAATTTACGATTGGCAGACACAATGGACGTTTTGCTTAAATTTGCTGAAGGAGACGCTCGTAAACCAGCCATTTATGCTACACGGGCTCTTCAAACAATGCCTGATTCTTACATAACCAAAGAGGTAATCAAATATACTTTTATGTACACATATTTGTATTAACCCCCCTGGGCTGCTCTTGCGATTTTAGCCTGCAACACGTCAGCCGCAAGAAATAAAAAAAATTAAGAAATGTTTTTTGTCTTATAAAAGTTTTCATTTGTGTTCCCTGATCACAAGAAAAATATAAAAATAAATCGTAGGTTATATATTTTGGCCACAATAGTATGAGGTTGACAGAGTAATTGATGTAGGTGGTCAGCTCCACCCGAGCTGTCAGGAGGGAGTTGCCACAAAGATATTATTACGTTATTATTTCAATGCTCTGATTGATTTTTTTCTGTTTTGCAGTAATATTATTCAATAGTGTGTAGTGTGATATATTTATATAATAAAATGTGTGAACCATTGCTATACTCAAAAGTATTGTGAGCATATTAGTGATTCAATTATGATGATCATAAAACAATAATCGAATAGTTTTGCAGTTATTTCACTATAAACACAGGTTATATGTAAGTTTCTGGATGTTTTGTTCACCATAACTGTACAACTAAGCTGGTATGGCAAGTTCAGTGAACAACAGAGGTTGCCACACTCCACAGTGATGTCACAGCGTCAGCTGATGCTCCCTCCGCTTGCTCACTTGTTCAAGGCACTAACATTCCTCACTAACGTTAGTGCTCACCACTAACATGGTGAACACGAATGTAGATACTTATATATAACGTCTGTATATAGTGAATAAAAGCAAAAACAGTATTGTGGGAGGAGAATGTGGGTGAGTCAGGTGACTTGAGGAAGGGAGGAAGTAGCAGCCAGTGGCGGGCTGCCACTGCATGCATGCCAACTTAGTGGTTCGTTATGGTGAACACGAATGTACATACTTATATATTACATCTGTATATAGTGAATAAAAGCAAAAACAGTATGGTGGGAGGAGAATGTGGGCGAGTGAGGTGTTGAGGAAGTGAGTGGCAGCGAGTGGCTGGCTGGTGTGTGGCGGTCACTCCTCGTTACTTTTTGACTCGTAATAGCAACTTAGTGTTCGTTATGGTGAACAAAACATGCAGATACTTATATATAACCTGTGTATATAGTGTTATAACCGACAAAGTAATTGTTCACTGTTTGATGAGCATAATTGAATCATAATATGCACACCATATTTTTGAGTACAGCGATGATTCACTCATTTTATTATATAAATATATCACACTACACACTATTGAATAATATTACAGCAAAAAAAACTACGAAAAATCAATCAGAGACATTGAAATAGTTAGGTAATTATCTCTGTGGCATTTCGGGCCTGACAGCTGGCGAGCAACAGACCGTCTGGGACGCACGCTGAGTCAGCGCCTGGTTTTTGCCAGACTTCCCCACCCTATAGCGGGCAATATATGCCACTTACGATTTTGTTGTTATTTTTCCCATGATCAGTGAATACAAATTAACAGGTTTAGAAGGATTTTTTTTTTTTTGTATGCGCCTGTGGGTGACACATGCTAAATAGCCAGGCGCCATTTAAGGGTTAAGTTGATCCATACAGCTGCATAATTGTTGCATGATCCATGACGATCTCGACGCACCATCCAGCTGGGATGGTTTGTTATTGTTGACAAGGGGAGAGTCAGTACAGGCGGCCCCCGAGGGAGGGACAGCTGGACTAACCTTGTTGCTAGCTTGGCTAGATGATTTATTCCTGATCAGTGTGTTATCTGCCTTAGTGGCCTTACTGGACTTGGATCTGTTATTCATGGTAGCCTACCCAGTATTCATGATACTAGGTAGACGGGCCACCACGTGCGTAGCTCTAATCCTGTAACTACACTTCGATAATTACTGCAAAACAGAAAACTTCGAAAGCAAAGCGGTCACTGCCTGAAATCTCTGAACTTAGAAATATATGGGTAAGATGAGTCACCTGGGAGAAACACGTCCCACATGACTCTGGGTTGAAGGTGTCACAGATCCAACAGGCAGCATGATGGAGGCAGAATGTATGAGCATTGCCAGGTGGCACAGGCATTGAACAACCCTCAAAGTTGCACAAGGAGAGGGCAGGCATGGGAAAAGTATCCATAGTACAAGAGCCCATTGGGGTTTTCCAGGGCCTGCAGGGTGAGAGTGCCCTGCAGGAAGCCCAAGCACTTGGAACAGTATGGTTGTTACCCCAGGCAACCCTGGCCACCCAAAACCAGCAGAAAAGTCGTAGGGGCAACGATGGGAGTGAACTGCATAAATTCCTCAGGAAAACCTAATAAGGTTTAATATTTAAACTTTCAAGCATAAAATGGCTAAAACAATGAAATCCTCCCAGAAAGGGGATAAGAGAGAAAGCCCAGTACCTGCAGGAGCATACCACAGAAAATGAGCAACCAGGGAGAATATAGCACCACCCAGACTATAAACCGGAAGTCTACCTCTGCGCACCAATTAGGTCTTGTGAACCACAGTGTGCCTCTCCAGCAAAAACACTCCCAACCTGAGAAAAGACAGATAGTCCAAGACCATTGGTTTACTTGTAGGGCGAGGGCACTCCTTAATGGAGTATGGAAAGGGAAGACAATCCTGACTGTGCAAGGGTACTTACAGAGTGCACAAGGAAGGAAACTCTGATTACATGCATTTCCAAGCTCACTGTAACTCTTAGCTCAGGTTACACAAATGTGTATAAGAACAGCCTCAAAGGCTGAAAAATGGGAGACTGGAGCCAGAGCGACTAGAACGGGCGACTAGGTACACATCAGAATTAGAACTGATGGTGGTGGGGTTGGCTAACTCAGCCTGCCTCCCTCCTCCCTCATACAAGGGGGGAAGGGGAATTACTTTAAATGTAAGATGTTTATAGTGCCACTGCTACATGCGCCTCTCTGAGGGGGTCCAAGTTATGACTCATGGTACCCGGTAGGCCAATAAGTGCTCCATGACTTATGGCACCTGGTAGTCTGGAACCGAGTCAATGTATTAGCTTCAGAGAGTCTCAAAGAAGCTCCCCAGAAAAAGCAGTTTCAGGAAATCTGGATTTCACACAAACCCAGATTGTATCCAGAATTATAAACTGTATACTAATCCAAATTTTGGAGGTGTCAGTGTATTAATTTATCTATTTAACATTTGGATGAGTGGAATTTGTGATGCATGAATAATGTCACATGATAATTTTTTTTCCATCTCTTGGTTAAAAAATAGTTCTCTGTTATTGTCACAAGGTTTACTCAGACTGCTGAAGCAAGACTTTGTTAAATGCTTTAGTTCTGACAGTATCTAATAAAAGTGTATAGAAATGTTTCCCATTGTTGGTAACAGGAGGCTGATTAGGCCTATTGAGATTCACCTAGTCAATAATTGACCTTCCCTAAAATGTGACTCACAGCAGCCATACCTATTAACTGCAAACTAAATAAAGGCAAAGTGTGTATTGAAATGTCCAAATGTCTCACTCAGCCCTGGATGTAAACCCAGTATTGATTATTTGAGTTAACTTCACTAACTACTGTTTTAACTTAGTGTTATGTTATTGTTATTATCCATGCTTTCTTCTCTTAGATTTACGGTAAGCTGGAGAGAATTTTCCTCGAGCTGCGTCACCCGCATGACTCAAGTGTTAGAGCCATGGCAGCAGATATTCTTCTTCGACATAAGCCTAGTGAGGAACTTTTGCGAGTAATTCTTCAAATGATGGCCACGCAAGATTCCAAAGAACTCAATACTCTACTCTTGGGTAGATTGCGAGATTTATCTGAAAGCAATAAATATTTACAGCAGGTAATAACAACTAATTATGAATTTTGTTATTTAAAGTATTATGTATCATACTAGAAGTAATGGGAAACTGGAGTGTGATTGGATGTTCATTCCTGTTTCCCTTGTTCACAATACATTGTAACCTCAATTCAGCAAACTATATGGGGATCAATCCTGATTGGTTACATTCAGAAATTCATTGCCACTGGAGATGCTTTCAGGAAGCATTTGTATGATGCAATTTTCTGTGGAGAGCCCCTCCAGCTCCCTGGACGTATACAGGGCTGATATGTATACATTAGACCATGGCATCAGTCAATTCAATTGGAGTTCTAGCCTACCGGGGGCCAGGACCTGGTCCCCTCAGAGGCACGAGGAGCAATAGCTTATAGAAATCCTTGTGTGGTTGGAAGCATTCTGTCTGCCATCTGCCGGGTTAGATACCCAGAAAGGTAGGCATCCCAAAACACTCCACCTAGTTAAAATTGCTACCGAAAACTGAACTATCAAGCAGTACCCCACAATCTGAAAAAAAGCAAACAAGCATGACGTCACAAATGCCACCGGGCTGCTGTCTGCGCAGCTCCACCCTCCCTGGGAGGGGGAAGGGGGAGCACCAGACCCCCTTGCGCCGGCTATCCAACCTTAATTCTAAAGCTGATGTGTTGCATGGCAGTCATTCGACTCTGGCTCCTATCTCTGAGCAGTGCTGTACCTTTGCAGTGTTCTTCTGTATGGTGGTGTGTGAGCCAGGTGTAATTCACAGAGTACTGGGGCTACATGCACCTAGGGCCACCTTTCCTAGGTGCCCTGTAAGTACTGACCTTGCAGCTTGGGGTTATCTTCCACAAGTCATTCGGGGACTACCTCCGTAGGGATCTTTTGCTGCTCGGTGATTGCCCGCCCTTGGGGTCAGCTGGGGTTTTCATTTCCACTGTTGGACCTTGGGTAAGATTTAGTATCGTTGCTGGTAGGGGCGCAAGGTACTGTGCAGCTTGTCACCTATTACACGATGGCCGGTTCTGTTCCTCCTGAAAACATTGTACTTTTGCAGGGTTTTCCTTTTTGTCTTTTGAAAACATTGTCAGGTTTTTTGCCCCTTGATTATTGACCACCCTTTGTTATTCTGGTGGCTCCCAGCTAGATCCCTGTCATTGTTCATGTTGCAGGGGTTCAACTTTTATTTGTTCTCTTGGTAGTTGGGCCAACCAGTTAACAGTACCTTGCCTGGGGATTCCCTTAGCAGTCAGCCTAAGGGCCTTGGAAAACCCCATTATGGCTCATTGGTCCAATGGATGCATCCTCTGGGTCTCATCTCGCCTTGTGTGAAATTGAAGGTTGCTCTGTCCCCTTGTCTCAGGGTTACATTCACCGGTTTTGCCACTGTCATGCTGTCTGTTGGGTCAGTGACACCTTCGACCCTGAGTCCCATGAGTGGTGTTCCTTGCTGGTTCTCCATTGATTCTGATACTAGAGTGCAGGGAGCATTGGCATTGCATGCACAGTTCTAGTTGCAGCAACGTGCTAGGTTGGTTGCCTTTTCGGCTGCCCTGTGGCTGTCTCACTTTGGTTATTGGGACCTGAACTTGGAGGGGCGTTAGTAGCTTCGACTTTGGTTTCGTCCGCGCCTCCCCCTCCCCCCCCCCCCCCCCCCCCCCCCCCCCCCCCCCCCCCCCTCGTCCTTCCCCCTGCTGTAGTTTGTCCTGCTTCCCTGCTGTCGGCTCTCAAATGTCTGAGGGTTTCAGAGTCGGGGCAAGGTCTAGATGGTGGTGAGACTTGGGCGGTCTCGGGGTCTGCCCCTTCTGGTTTGGCAACAGAGGCATTCAAGACTGCTCATCCATCCAGGGCTTCAGGTCTGACCAGCGGGCTCCTCCTTTTCCCTGCTTTTCCGGTTGACTCTGCCTTTTCTTTAGGGGTGGAGGATATGGAGGATGGCTTTGCCCCGGGTCCTGGCATGGAGGATTCCGGGGTTGGGAAGGAGTTGACCTGGGATGCTTGGGCCCCGTTTTACACCGCTTAAACCCCCCCCCCCCTTTCTCTGTACAAATTTGATATTTGATATTCGGCTCCTCCTCGGGTTCGGTTCCAGGTTCCCTTGGGTTCTTCGGCCCCTTCCTTCCTGAGGTTTTTGGCTTCCTGTATCCCGCTTAAGGAGGTTTGAGAGGCCATTGTGGCGTACCTCCTGTATGACCTGGATTTTGCCTCGATAATGGACCACTTCCTCATTTGATCTCGATTTTGCTTTTCCTTATTGGGTGCATTACGAGGTACTGGAATCATCCTGGTTAGCAGACTGATCTTTCTTTACATTGGGGGCGTGACATTCGTTCTGTCGGACCCGAACGCTTGAGTGGCGGGAAACTTCTACTGTGGTTCAGGTTTACATGGAGGCAAGTTGGAGCACCTCTATGCTCCTATGAACATCAGAGGTCCACGGTTGTTCAACGTCCTACCAGCGAGCATCAGAAATATTACAGGAACAATCGTGGACATCTTCAAGAGGAAACTAGATTGTTTCCTTCAAGGAGTACTGGACCAACCGGGCTGTGGTGGGTATGTGGGTCTACGGGCCGCTCCAAGCAACAGCCTGGTGGACCAAACTCTCACAAGTCAAGTCTGGCCTCAGGCCGGGCTTGGGGAGTAGAAGAACTCCCAGAACCCCATCAACCAGGTATCAACCAGGTAACCTCAATGCATGCTTGTTCATCCCCCATTCTTCCTAAGGATATTGGTCAGGTGCAGCTCCATGTGCAGGTTCCCATTCTTTTGACGTCCCTGGTAATTGAGGATTTGCGAGCCCGGGGGCACTTGGCTTTGGTTTCACGTTTCTTTTCCCTGCTCGAGCTGTCTTTGGACTGGCTTGAGGAGAATACGAGAGGTGCTGGGGACCGGGCCTGTGTCTGGTGTGCTTGCCTCGGCGGTTAGGCAAGGCATCGGCTGCCTTGTTTTTGTATGTGCCGATTCTGAAGGAGACGGTGTTGCTGTTCTTTACTTCCCGCCTCACATGCCGGCAGGCTGTGCTCGCTTATTCTTTGGAATCCGCGTGGGGCATGGCTCTTAGATTTTTGTCACCTTCTTGTCCGTTGCTGTTTGGGGATTCTGTGGCTATGCAGTATCTGCAAGCAACTTCTACTAGCTGTCTCCCTATGTCTGACTTGTTGGTTCTCCAGGGCGGGCCGTGGTGGGTCGTTCCCGGTGCGGTCGTGCCAGGGTTTGTGGTTCCTCCGGTCGTGGTGGGCCAGTGGTGCCAGCTTCGGAGTCGGCGCTTCCTTCGGACCCGCTGGTGTCTGGTCGGTGCAGTGATCACTCTGTGCATTGTTTGGGTTCTCGTAAGGGGCGTCAGCCTTCACGTGGTTCGTCCTTTACGGGGCAATGGGGGAAAAGCTCTGTTTCATCTCGCCTGGTCCCACGATTTGTGGGCGTTTTGGGTCATTTCCTCTGGCCAGCGGTGGCATTGAGTGGCTCCTCCTCCTTCGGAGGGTTTGGAGTTCAAGGGGCAGGTCACTTCTCCTGTGCTTTGTAAGGTCATCTTGGAGTGGGTGCGCTTGGGCATTGTCGAAATGACCCCATCCCTCAGGTGGGTTTTCCCCGCCTGTTTCCAATTCCGAAACGCGACTGTGCGGATCTGAGGTTCATTTTGGACTTGTCCTGTCTGAACCCCTGGGTCTTTTCCTTTCCTTTTGGATGACCACTCTGTCCCAGATCCGGCTTTTTTTGGAGGAGGATGCTTAGATGGTGTCTCTGGATCTCCAGGATGTGTATTGGCACAACCCAATTCATCCAGGGTTCAGGGACTGGCTCAGTTTTTATCGTTGGGCAGCAGGCTGACCGCTTTCGTTGCCTTCAATTCAGCTTGAATCTGGCGCCTCCCATTTTTACATGCCTTACCCGTGTCGTGGTGACCCGCTTGCATCTGCTAGGAGTTCGGGTTCTGGCCTTTCTCGATGACTGGCTGGTATGGGCTTCCATGCTCTGCGTGTCCACTCACCAGGAGTTTGGTTCTTTCCCAGCTTGCTGGGTTCAGATTCTTGGTAAACTAGAGGAAGTCTTATCTGGTTCCCTCTCAGGTTCGGACTTGGCTGGGTCTTGTGTGGGACTCTTGGACCACTTCCTTGTCTCTCCGTCCAGTATCGTTGCTGCAGCTATGGTCCCGACTTCGGCTGTTTCTGGGGAGCTTCTGGGTCACTTGTTGATTGCTCGAGCTAGCTGTGCAGGAGTCTGAACTTCGCCGTGCTTGATTCCTGCCAGGTCGGGTCTGGCTTCGGCTGCTGTTCTGGTTCCTTCGGGGATGTCCCTTCTGCCACTCTTGCGATCATTGGGTTCGGCCACTTGGGGCCTTGCATCGGCTTCTGCATTGCCGGCTTCTTCTTCGGGTTTTTCGGGGCTCTGTGCTGTGGCGCCTCCCTGTGCCCCCCTTTGCTTGATGTGTGCACAGATACGTCGTCTCTTGGCTGGGGTTTTGTGACCAGTGCTCACCAGGCCGGCCAAGGGCGGTGGGGTCCGTCTTTCCGTCAGGCTTGCAGCACGATGCGGGAGTTCATAGCAGTGTGGGTGTTGCTTTGGAGGGTTTGTGTTGCTCATGGATTGACGATCCAGCTCCATTCGGACTGCACCCTGGTGGTTCATTGCCTGAACCGAGGGGGGTTTGATGTGGTCCTTGGCTCTTTTGGGCAGGTCACTTCGGGTGAATCATCTGCTGAGTTATCAGGGTTTTGCTCTCCTGGCAGTTTACATCCAGGGGGGGGGGGTGTCCAACGTCACGTTGGATGGCCTCTCGCTTCATTCCCCATTCCGCAGAATTGAGGGTTGACGCCGACTCTTTCGGTTGGCTCTGCCAGACGTACTGGCACCTGAAGGTGAACCTCTTCGCTTCGGCATGGTTGAGGCGTCTTCCGGTATATGTGGCGCCCTTTCCAGAGAGGCTGTCAGGGTCGATGCCTTTCGGCAGGACTGATCGAGGTGGGGTTACCTATACCACTTTCTGCTGGTTCCGCTGTAGCTTCTGGTCCTGGCTCGTCTGGAGACTTATCAGGGGAGAGTAGTCCTGTTGGCCCCTTGGGGGGGCCATGCAAAGCCTAGCTTTGGTTTCTATCACTGCTTGCTCGGTTTCCGAACCTGGGGACTTTTCCACAGCTCTGCCTCTTTCAGCAGATCGGTCCAGTCCGTTACATGGCTGGTTCGATCTTCTCCTCTGATCTTTGCATCTGGTCTTTCTGTCGTGGGTCTATCGCCATTTGTTTATTGATCAGGTGGCTTATTTGATGGTGTCCTACCTGCAAGTTTTGTCTTGGTCGCAGTATGACGTCTCTTGGCGGTCTTTTCATTACTTTTTGTCTCTTCGTAGGTTGTCTTTAGTTTCAGATCTGGTTTTCTTGTGCCTTCTCTCTTGGTTGTTTCGGAACTGTCATCTTATGCCGAATACTGACGCCTTGTATTGTGCGGCGCTGGCGGAGCTGCTCCTGCTTTCGTTCGGGGTGGATGTCGCTTCAGCTCTGTTTCGCAAGCTGTCTCGTGCGTTGTTTCACTTTCGGCCTGGTCATGCGCTGCCTGAGCCATCCTGGTCATTGGACCGGGTGCTCTCTCCTTCTAGGTTTGTGGTGGCCCCTTTAGTTCGGGATTGTTTTTAAGGCTCTTTTAAAAAGGCTTAATTGAAAAGGCTCTTTTCTTGTCGGCATTATCCTCTGGGGGTTGGGTCGAGGAGCTTTATGCTCTCCTCCAGGTGCACGAAGGGTGCATCGTGTGTTGTGTCTGGTTGCAGCTCTTTACCGTTATTTGCACAGCATGGCCTCTGTGACCTGGGATGTGCTTTGGGTTGACTCGGTTTCCCTTCTTCCCTGTTCCAGGGCTCGGGTCTCATAGGTCGTCTGCAGGGTTATTTGGTTCCGCCTGCCTGCGATCTATCCTCGTGCCCACGACGTTTGAAAATTTGCTGCTTTAGCTGCCATTTTTTGTAATATGTCTTGGGCTGACATTCAGGCGCAAGGAATTTGGAGGTCTAACAGTGGTTTTGGATGCATGTTACCTTGTTAATGTTCCTGGCCCTAGTCGGGCGTGTGTCGCTTTAGGTCACAGGTTGAAGCCAGTTGTCTTGACTTCGATTTGAGATGTGAGTGGAGGCCGCCTCCCGGGTGAGTCCCTCTTGACTTTTTCTGTGGTTAGGTAGCTCCGGGAAGCCGAAGGGGTTCTCCACAGAAAACCAGTGTTGATTATAATGAAATGCCATTTTCTGAGTGAGTCCTGGAGGCTCCTTGGCAACCCTCCCTCCCTCCCTCAGGTCAGCAGTTTCTGACATTTTTATATTCAGCCTCTGAACTGAGGTTGGGTAGCCAGCGCGAAGGGTCTGGGGCTTCCCCCTTTCCCTGTCCCGGGGAGGGGGGAGCTGCACATACAGCAGCATACTACTACGACTATGACTATTACGATGACTACTACTACTACTACGACGACTACTACTACTACGACGACGACGACTACTACTACTACGACGACTACTACTACTACGACTACTACTACTACTACTACTACTACTACTACTACTACTACTACTACTACTACTACTACTACTACTACTACTACTATGACTACTACTACTACTACTATGACTACTACTACTACGACTATGACTACTACTACTACGACTACTATGACTACTATGACTACGACTACGACAACTACGATTACGACGACTACGACTACAACGACTACTACTACTATGATGACTACTACGACTACGACAACTATTACGACTACGACAACTATTACGACTAGGGAGCCGGTCGGCCGAGCGGACAGCACGCTGGACTTGTGATCCTGTGGTCCTGGGTTCGATCCCAGGCGCCGGCGAGAAACAATGGGCAGAGTTTCTTTCACCCTATGCCCCTGTTACCTAGCAGTAAAATAGGTACCTGGGTGTTAGTCAGCTGTCACGGGCTGCTTCCTGGGGGTGGAGGCCTGGTCGAGGACCGGGCCGCGGGGACACTAAAAAGCCCCGAAATCATCTCAAGATAACCTCAAGATCAAGACTACTACGACGACTATTACGACTACTACGACTACTACTACTACGATTACTAATTATTATTATTATTATTATTATTATTATTATTATTATTATTATTATACTACTACTACTACTACTACTACTACTACTACTACTACTTTTTCTTCTTCTGCTACTACTTCTTCTATTACTACTACTTCTATTACTACTTCTTCTATTACTATTACTACTACTACTGTTACTACTTAATTTATAAAGATCCAACCCCTTAAATCTTATTTTTTAAAGGTTGAGCTATATATGACCCCTGGAGAGAGATGACAACTCTCTCTCCTTGCATACTAAGTAAATCCACACTTGACCCACTTTGCCAGACATTTTATGGCAAGGCATAATTTACCTTAATTTACCTGAGGGCCACTAATACTATTGGCCTCAGCAAGGACAGGAAGCTGGCGGCTTGTCAAAGGTTCCTCCATTTGCCCTCATGGTCTTTTCTATCTGTATTTTAAAACCCAGCAGATTTACTAAAGACTAAATTTACATTAATTTTAAATGAATTTACATAAGATTAAATCTGGTCTGGAAAGTGCTTATTGTAACTGGAGATTTGCTGAATTGAGGTTTGCAAAATCAAGGTTGCACTGTAAGTGTTTATTTCAGTACCAGAACATAGAAACATTGAGTAATCATTTTGTTATTTGTATTGAGATCTGTTGTTGCAGTTTTAATAATGACTGCCAGTACTGTATTGAGAATGTAAGCCAACATACTTGGCAGAAATATTAATGGTTGTATGCCTGTCTTCAGTATGTAACAAGACAGGTTTTGTTTTACTACGTCTTTACTACTATTTAAGTAAATTTAATGATCATTAGAGACTTAGGTTAGGCCTTGTAGTTTCATTTTTGTTTTTGTGTATTTTTTTGAGCTTGAAACTAATAATCAAAAACAACATGCTTAATTACCTGTACTTTGTATATACATCCACATGGTGCTCTTGTGACTCACTCAACTCCTGAACATTGCAGGTGCTGAAGAGAATTTTGAAAGATCCAGAATATAATAATTATCACATATTGGGTCAAAATGGGCTCTCGTCAGCATTCTCACGATTGCTGTATCAAGACAAAAGTGCCAATTCTTCCTTCAGTAACATGCTGGAAATTGATGGGGGTCTTCTTAAGAGATCTACAGTTGATGTTTATGTGGAGAGCCAAGATGCTCAAATGCGGCTGCTATCAGTAAGTAAATACATAGCTTTGCTCAGGTGTCATCTTGGCTGTAAATAACCAGTTTAAATGCAAAAGTAATGCCATTTCCATCATCTATTTGCATGGTTATGGGGAGATTATTAAAGGTTTCACTTCCTAATTTTCTTCCTGTAATTTATCATTGTCATTCTTACTTGTAAAAATCTGCAGGAGCCATGATGAGGGTTTGAACCCTCATCATGGCTCCTGCAGATTTTCTTATTGATGCAGTAATGTTAGTGTGATTACTCTGTTTACTGAAGAGGAGCGTCAGAGGTAGAACGTTCTTAAATGACTGAGTCAGAGTGCATTGGGGGGGGAATGTGTGAAAATCCTGATCCATCTTCAGAAGAAGCCTCGGGAAACCCTTGTGTGTTCAGCTAAACTCGGGTTGCAGTCCTTATTATCATGTTGTGGTCTAGTCGCTAGAGCGTGTGCACGGAAACACGAACCCTCATCACAGCTCCTGCAGATTTTCTCATTGATGCAGTCATGTTAGTGTGATTACTCTGTGTTTCTTGTGATATATAATACTAAAGATTTAAAGGAAACTTTGGGCTCGACTTGTATAAAAAATATTTATACAAAGCCATCACTTTTTTTTCCCCCCATTTATCACAATATGAATTAGGGAGCATAAAACACTGTGACCTTAAAAATCTCGATCTCAAGTACAGTATTAACATCCTCCAAGTAACAGCCACATTTTCTTAATGTATCAGCGAAGTCATAAATCAGTGCTACGAATAGTTGGGATAAGTGGCTTTATTTCTGCAACTGGTCCCATCATGTGATCTTTTCCAGTGTGTTATCTCGTTGTTACCTTGTTACTCAAGGGTGCTGACCAAATGATCTTTTCCAGTGTGTTCTCTCTCTCTTACCTTGTTATTCAAGGGTCCCGACCATGTGATCATTCCCAGTGTGTTATCTCACTGTTACCTTGTTACTCAAAGGTTCTGACCATATGATTTTTCCCAGTGTGTTATCTTGCTGTTACCTTGTTACTCAAAGAGTCCCGACCATGTGATCGTTCCCAGTTTGTTAGCTTAATGTTATGTTGTTACTCATGGGTGCTGACCATGTGATCTTTCCCAGTGTGTTATCTCGCTATTAGTTTGTTACTCAAGGGTGCTGACCATGTGATCATTCCCAGTGTGTTACCTAGTTACTCAAGGATCCCGACCATGTGATCATTCCCAGTGTGTTACCTTGTTACTCAAGGATCCCGACCATGTGATCATTCCCAGTGTGTTACCTAGTTACTCAAGGATCCCGACCATGTGATCATTCCCAGTGTGTTACCTTGTTACTCAAGGGTCCCGACCATGTGATCATTCCCAGTGTGTTAGCTTGGTGTTATATTGTTACTCAAGGGTTCCAAGAGTTACTGTGTTACTGTCAAGTGTTAGCGTATTACTGGAGGAATTAAATACATTTTCTCTGATATTTAAATATTTATGAGTAGAAATGGTATCTGCCAGTAAAAAGTACCCAGGTTGAACCAGATAGGAATAGTAGTAGTATCTTATCCCTCTTGTTTTGGGCCCATTCCTACTTGGATTGTAACAGGGCTAAGAAAAATCATATTTTTGCACTTCTAGTAAGAAAAAATACCTGGTCTTTCCAGCTGTGTTATACAGATCAAAACCTAAAACATTCAAAAGTACTTGAACTAATATTCTTATAGAATGCTAGTTGGGATACCCGAGTGTGCCTGGGTCTCTCCCCCCCCATCCTTTCCTCTCTCTCCTCACCTCTGTCTCAGTTTGCCCCCCTCCCCCCTTTCTCAGCTCTCTTTGCCTTCTCTACTCCACCCTCTCCATCTTACCCCCCTCCCTCACCCTAATACAAATATCCCCCAACATCCCCTTAATTTTTTCCATAATGTTTAACGGATTTCAAATCACAAAGAGTGATGAAAACGTTAACCCTTAACCACTGAACTGCACAACCATGTATTCTTGGTCGGTCGGAAACTGCGCCAACCGAAAAAAACTTTTTTTTTTTATTTTTTCGTACCCATTCTAAATGTGTGCGCGGTTGGTTGTGTACGAAATGGACTCTTAGGACCTCCAGTGAGAGGCAGCCATCTTGGAAAAAATTCCCAGAATGCCCTAGGGCTGCTGGCTGGGTCAGTACTGAGTGAGCAACCATAGGTGGCGCATGCGCCTCTGGCTCCCAAACACCTGTCTGACGCAGTGTTGAAAGATCGCACTTTGTCTGAAATTCAAATCTTATTGTTTGAAGAACATAAGAGTCGTAAAATGCTGGAAATTCGGTTCAGACGGAGCTTGGAGTAGAGCAGAGAGCTGAATGAGACCGGAGTCGCAGAGCTCTATGTGGGAGAGCGTGGCTACTCGATTGGGAATTGCGAGTGTCTGAACTCGGGGAGCGAGAGCGTTTTAGCGCGATGCGGTCGTAGTCTGCTGTCTGCTCTGTGTCGAAGCTGTAGCGTCTTGGTCTGACCAAGCACCTGTCTGACGCGGTGTTGAAAGATCGCGCTCTGTCGGTGAAATTGAAACCTTATTGTTTGAAGAACATAAGAGTCAATATATTGGTGAAGTTAGGTGCAATAAGGACCTAACACAAAGGTCGGATGCAAGTGATACAGCACCTATGAGGACGATACATTGAGCGTATCCAGTTGTAGCTCTGAGCACCACCCTTGCCCTCCTATACTATCACCAATTTATATAGATGATTATCTTGAGATTATCTTGAGATGATTTCGGGGCTTTAGTGTTCCCCGCGGCCCGGTCCTCGACCAGGCCTCCACCCCCAGGAAGCAGCCCGTGACAGCTGACTAACACCCAGGTACCTATTTTACTGCTAGGTAACAGGGGCATAGGGTGAAAGAAACTCTGCCCATTGTTTCTCGCCGGTGCCTGGGATCGAACCCAGGACCACAGGATCACAAGTCCAGCGTGCTGTCCGCTCGGCCGACCGGCTCCCTTGATACATGATACATGATGAATCGTTTTCTGTGTTCAGTGATGATGCATCTGATACAAGTAACATAGATGAACAGTGTTAGCGACTTCCATGGTGATATTTTCCATAGATATTTTCAAGAATAGCTGAATCTCTTCTTGACTGACGGACACTCTTTGAGGCTGGCTGAATCTCTTCCAAACTAACAGACACTCTTCGAGGCGGGTTGAATCTCTACCTGCGTGGGACCTTAGAAAGCAATATTATCACAGGGGGAGCCGGTCGGCCAAGAGGACAGCACGCGGGACTTGTGATCCTGTGGTCCTGGGTTCGATCTCAGGCGCCGGCGAGAAACAATGGGCAGAGTTTCTTTCACCCTATGCCCCTGTTACCCAGTAGTAAAATAAGTACCTGGGTGTTAGTCAGCTGTCACGGGCTGCTTCCTGGGGGTGGAGGCTTGGTCAAGGACCGGGCCGCGGGGACACTAAAAACCCCGAAATCATCTCAAGATAACCTCAAGATTACGGCTACCTTACAAATTGATCTTTTCCTATAATCTTTTCAAGACTGCCTTATGCTTTACAAGCTTGGCTACATGCCACCTACAGGTACTAAAGCCAAGGGTGTACGTGAGTGCGTTATTTGCAAGCACACAGAACGGAGAAACGGGAAAAGAGAAGAAAACGAAGAAAATCTATCTGTACCTGGTACATCGAGAGCGAAGTCGCCCTGTGTACCATGGACTACTTCGTTGATTATTACTCATTTCCTAAGTACTGGGTGTGTAATAGTGTGTTACTGTGTAAATAGTGTGTGAAACTGTACATATTGTAATTTTAGTGATTTTTTAACAAGTAATATTGCGACAATAAACATTTATTGTGGACACATTACTGACACATGTATCACAGTTCCATGGAACATTATGAATATTCTACTGTATACATGAGCCGGTTGGCCGAGCCGACAGCACGCTGAACTTGTGATCCTGTGGTCCCGGGTTCGATCCCGGGCGCCGGCGAGAAACAATGGGCAGAGTTTCTTTCATCCTATGCCCCTGTATTCTAGCAGTAAAATAGGTACCTGGGTGTTAGTCAGCTGTCACGGGCTGCTTCCTGGGGGTGGAGGCCTGGTCGAGGACCGGGCCGCGGGGACACTAAAGCCCCGAAATCATCTCAAGATAACCTCAAGATACATATTGTAAAGGACACAAATATGCATCATATACGAAAAAAATAAAAAAATAAAACCGCATTGGAAACATATAGAACAAATAATTGAAAATATATTTGTGGTAACACCTGGTGCTTGAATATCCCGCGCAACCGTGTCTAGGCGTGTCATGCACGGGCAACCAGGCCCTGATGACATCACAGTGCACCTTATCCATGTCCCCACAGCCAAAGTAAGTGGAATTTGGTATAAATTTTTACATAGACATGTTCAGGGAGGGGAATTTATCATTTTATGAAGAAAAAAATAATTTTTTGGGGACACTTAATTTCATGCACACGGGGGGAATTTCACAATAAACTCGGCGCATCATAGTGGTTAAATTGTGCAATTCATACATACTTATACGATGGGAGTAACTGTCACAAAACCACACAATACATACATATACATTTGAGGGTCTAGCGCATGATTTTAAATGCCCCGCGAGGTATAGGGGCAGCTATAGTCAAGCCAAGGCCGATAGTAAACAGACGCGATCTTGAAAAAAAATCATGGGTAACATATCCGGGTGTGAGAGCCTCAGTACTGAGTGAGCATCCAAGGCTGGCGCACACAGCATGAGCTAACAGCACTGCTGTTCAGCTTGTGAACACAGCATTGCCTAAAAAGTAACAATATATGAATCTGCTATTATTTAGTGATGATAGTATTAGAAAAGACCCTTGACCGATAAAAATGACCAGGATTCTGATAATAGCAGGATTGTGGTGATATTTAGCACTGTGCTCTATGGTGGGAGGAGTAATGCTGAAAGAGGGAGGGAGGTGGTGTCGTCTTCTGACTCTGTGTAGCTTTCTTTTATTGACTGGACCTACCATACCAGC